TGTACTCTGCCCTTGGGTTTTTACGTCCAAGATGCATTATCTTATCCACATTAAATGTCAGTTGCCACAACTCTAATCATATTTCTAGTTTACCTAAATCATTTGGCTTATCCCTCCTGGCAAGGGAGGGCTGTCAGCCTCAGGCCTGGGGGGCAAATCCAGTGAAGGCACCCCCAAATCAGCTCACCATCCATGCCCACCTTTTCCTGGTTTTATAACTGATATTGATGTTATGCTAATCAGTAGCTCTTTGCCATACCCACTCCTTTGCGGCTCCAACCTTCAATGTTGTTAGAGGCTCATCTCTGAGCCTGTGCTCTGACTCACTAACTGAGCACCGGAACCACGAGGGAGAGGATATCATCTAAGGCACCTACTGCTGGTGTGCACCAGTGGATCACCAGGGAATCATTTAAATTAAATATGCCGGTCTTGTGAGCTGTGTTGGCCGCCAGACGCCTCGGTTGTCATGGCGCCCTACATGGCCCCACAGCTTGCACACCTCAAACACTGGCCCTGCTGACAGACACACTGGCACTCACTCTCAATAACACACACAAACCCTGACACACAAACACTCACTGACAGGCAGACACATACACACACTGACAGGCAGACACACATTCACTGACAAACACTTACTTGACAGACACACTCACTGACACACACACTTACTGACAGACACCAGTGCCACATTAACAACATTATGGGTCCCCGGGCAAAGCAGTGCACTGGGGCCCTGCCTACACAACTTACAGGAATAAAAACTTAAATTCTAGATACAACAAAGATTATATTTATAAGTACCTCCAACAAATGCAATGCATACATACAATACATACACACAGACTGCTGAATACAGTCACACACCGACTGCTGAATACAGTCACACACTGACTACTGACTACACACAGAGGCAGACTGCTGACTACACACACAGACAGACTGCTGAGTACAAAGACAGACAGACAGACTGCTGAGTACACACAGACAGACTGCTGAGTACACATAGAGAGTGCTGAATACATACACACAGTCCGCTGAATACAATCACACACAAACATACACACAGACGGCTGAATACATACACAGTTCGCTGAACACACACACACTGCTGAATACATACAGACTGCTGAATACATACACACTGCAGTGAGGGGTGCAGTGTATGTGTTTGTGTGTACGGGTGCGGTGTGTGTGGGGTGCTGTGTGTGTGTGTGGAGTGCTATATGAGTGTGGGGTCATGTGTGTGTATGTGGAGTGCTATATGAGTTGGGTGCTGCGTGTGTGTGGAGTGCTATATGTGTGTTGGGTGCTGTGTGTGTGCTTGAGGAGTGCAGGTAGCAAATGTTTTGGTTTTTTTAATATCACTATACATTAAATAAAATCTATGTCCCCCCACACCCTTCTTCTAACCTTTAGTGAAAGAGGCTGGGACACAGCCAGCCCTGGTGGTCCAGTTGTGAATTCTGTACAGCCTGCAGCTTGTCTGGCTGCAGGCTGTCTCCTGTCCTCCTGAGCGCAGAATGCTGTGTGGAGCATTGCCATGGTAATGCGCGGCAACACTCCACACAGCCTGCTTGCCGGAGGAGCAATCTGCCTTTTAGGTCGGCCTCTCCTGCAGCCCTGGGTCCTAGCTACCTCTCTCCCCGATCGAAGTGAGATCTCCCTCACCGGCCCAAGGGGGCCCATGACCAGAAAACAGGGCCACCTCTCTATTGGCCGGCAGGGGAGATCAAATCTCCCCTGTCGGCCGGGCATGTGCTGGGCAGCCTGTGGGGCCCACGGGCAACTGCCCAGCAAGCCCATGTGGAAAGACGGCCCTGACAGACACATACACTCACTTCCAGACACACACACACACACAAACACTTCCAGACACACACACTTCCAGACACACACACACTTACTGACAGACACACACTCACCGACAGACACACCCTCACCGACAGACACACACTCACCGACAGACACACACACTTACTGACAGACACACTTACTTTCAGACACAAACACTCACTTCCAGACACACAAATTAATTATATTCCTTGTTGCTCCTACCTTTAGGAGTCCTCTGGGTCCTTTCCCCGGGGTCCAGTGACTTCCTGCTCCTCTCTGCTCCCTCGCGCAGTTTAGTGATGCGTGGCCGGAATGACGTCATATTCCGGCTCCCGTCATCACCAGACGGCGCGCGAGGGGGCAGGAAGATCATCAGCAGAGGCAGTGCTCCCTCGCCGCCGCCTGCCTCCTTCCTTCCTCTGGCGGCCGGTATATTCCTGCAGAGTAGGCACCTGCTGTCTGGTACTCTGCCTTGCTACCGGGGCGCCCCAGCTGGCCACCTGCTGGGCTCCCTGTGACAGGCTATCGGCCTGCTCCGCGCGGCACCACCCCCCCCCTCCTGGCACCCAAGACCGGCCCTGCAGCGGCCATTTTTCAGATGACTTAGGGCGGCCTGGGGGGCAATTGCCTCCCTGCCCCCCGGCCGAGCCCGCCCCTGCTTCCTGGAACATCAACCCTGTTACATATCTTAGTATCATCAGCAAAGAGACATACCTTACCATCAAGGCCTTCTGCAATATCACTAATAAAAATATTAAAGAGAATGTGTCCAAGTACAGATCCCTGAGGTACCCCACTGGTGACAAGCCCAAGCTTCGAATATATTCCATTGACTACAACCCTCTGTTTTGTCACTTTTCAGCAAGACTTTGATCATTTCAGATTGGTGGAAAACAGCCTTATACCCTGCGGTTTCGGTGATCACAGTCCTGCAGAAAAAGCATAATTGACACATTAAAGGAAGTGTCCTACACTTAGCAAATTCAGCACCTAAAAAGATTTAAAAATCCACTGGAAACCCCATTGGAAACACGTCTTCTAACAATTAACCAATAATGAAATATATTTCTAAGTTTGCAAATGCACAAAATGAACATTTCAAACACCTCGACAGATTCGATGACCCGTACAAACACAGTTAGCTACAGATTCCTTGTTAAACAATTAGACAAATTAAGCGACAAATAAGCATTCTAACCTTAATTAAACAACAAAATGAATAACATAATAACTACACGCGAGCTCAATATCTGAACGATTTCGTTTAAAGGTGCCTTAAGGTAACACACAACAATGTTCATATGTGATGATTGGTTAATGTGACATCTGTCACCTATTTCCGTCAGAAATACATTTGGCTGTCTATAACTTTCAATCTTTTTGTAGTTTAAAAGCTTGCAAAATCAGCATTTTGTTTTCTCAAATGCATTTTTTTATTGAGAGTGTCACATGTATACAGATACAAAAAATGGAGTCAAAAGACAACAATCAGTAAAGGAGTGTCAAACCTAGCATTGTCCAACAGAGCAATGGCATGAGCACATGTTTTCAATTTTTTTTTAATCAGACACCGATACTGGATTGCAATGTAATCATGTATTTACCGATTCAGGTCGAGTTTTTAAATCTGGAATTTCAAGGTAAATTATGAGATTTACAGAAACATTTTTACTTTTCTTTACTGTAAAGATTAGACCATCGATTATATCTGACCAAGTTCTCCTTTCACTAACAGGCCATCATGGTGACTATCTACCCAGATAATCCATAGTAAGGCCAGACACCGAGCTCCAATAAATGACACCAGACAGTGGAATAGCTGGTTAACGCATGGACACAGCTTTATTAAATATCACACGTTAGTAAATTAGCATAAACACATACGTTTAATCTCATCCATAAATTCAGTGCAGGATTATCCATAAGGCAATAAGCAGCGGACACTGTAACCATGAATTTGCTTGGCTCCATTCACAATCCCTATGTGAAAAATGAATGGGTGTTCCAATCCAGTAACTCAGACCCTGTGGGATCTTAATCCTTCTTTGCATAAACACAAGCTATCTGTTATCCAGACAGAAACCCCTCCCACAGAATCAATTTAGAGCTTTCTATTGGTCAACATGCTGGCTAAGGAAACCAACCCAAAGCTGTAACAACATTGTAACAAAGAAATGGAGAATGGACGAGCAAGGAGGAAGGTGGACATTGGTACTTCCTCCATGACCGCTGGGAATCCAGGGGAGGGGGAGGGGAAGCAGAGTTCCATAATAATAATCATAAACCAAAGTATTTATAGTTTCTCCTTACAACCCCCCTAATCCTAGAATTAAGTCCTTAAATCACATATTATGCCATCTGAAATAGTGTCCAATGGGCATCCTTCCCATATATTTCTCTCTATTTCCAGACAATTCTTGTTTTTGTAAATAACACTGTGAGAATGTTTCAATATTTACTATAAGCATAGGTTTGGGAGCTATCCAACATTGAAATAGTTCAAGCAGCACTGCCCCAACACACTTACCTTTCTCCCAATCGTTTCTTCTTTTCTTCCTCTCCCCCACTCTCTCTTCCTTTGACTTATGTGCCTGACACTTCTAGACACTAGGCAGAGCTAGCGCCATCTAGAAGTGTCAATCCCCTTAACTGTCACCAGTGATAGCGGCAGGCAATTGGCTCTGTCTATGGAGGAAGCGTGAACGTACAGCAGTGACGTGGGCACTGTAACCATCTGGGGACTTTGCATAATTTGCTAAGACCCCCAATGGTGACATCGCCACTGGGAGTCTGGTGGCCGGGGGGGTAGACAAAAGTGAATTTAATTTATCTGAACCTGTACCTCACTGGCAACGCCATTTTCTTCTGGTCATTCCTCTTCTGGTCCTGACGATTCAGTGCCACAAGCCAACGTCACTGTTGTATCCGCAGGATCTTCCATAGACAGAGTCAAAATCCTGCAGCCATCACTAGTGACGGCTGGTCGGATTGACATTTCTAGATCGTGGTAGCTCTGCCCAGTGTCTAGAAGTGTGAGGCGTAGGAAAAATACTGAGACAAAGCAATATGTCTCAGTATATCTTTTGATTGGGTCACTGAAATTCCAACGCAGTCAATATGAGTATTTCATAAAGATTGTATCTTTATGAAATACTGACTTTGTAGGATTGGTGACATTACCGCTTTAGATTTTTCAGCAATTTGAGTTAAGGTAGTTTTATCTGTATGACTGGACTCGATGGTCTAGCCTTTGCTCTCCATGTGCATTACTGAGGCTTGAGCACCCATGACCATGACGCTGGTGCACCAGTTGTACTTCAAGGTATCATGTTTGGCAGGTACTAACCAAACTGCATACGGGGAGATACCTAGTCATCTAGCCATCACTATTTGGCCCTTGTTACAGTCCCACTCAGATCTTTTCACTTGCCCACTTGTCCTGCTTCCAACAGATGAAATTCAAGAACTGACTGTTCACTTGATGCCCAATATATCCCACCCCTTCATAGGTGCCATTGTAACGATCTAATCAAAGTTACCTGTCAGTGGGTTTAATATTGTGGCTGATCACAGTACATTCCTTTTTAAAGGTCATTATTTAATGAATCCCTAATTTCTATTTCTCTCCTGACTTTACCTTCATTCTCTGTTGCTGTAAAACCAGATGAAGGTAATTTAGGGCAGTACATGCTGTTTGGGTTCCGCTGTCTCTGAGTGGCACTTTCACTTAGTGACCATTTATGCTTTATTCATTAAACCAGTGTCTGTTCAGTAAGTACATTCATTCATGTTTTCTGCTGAATTATGTGGCTGTGAAGTGCAGAATAATATAACAGAGTGGACTGGCTGACAATAGTAAGAATCTTTCAAATTTGCAGGAAATGGAGAAATGTTCATCTTGGAGCATTAAGAATGTTCACACTGCTATTACACCTTCATTCACACACTAATGGAAACAGCTGAACACTTAAAGGGACACTATAGTAACCAAAACAACTTTAGCTTGAAGCCATTTTGGTTTATAGATCATGCCCTCACTGCTCAATTCTCTGCCATTTAGGAGTTAAATTACTTTGTTTATGCAGTCCTAGCCACACCTCCCTGCATGTGACCTGCCTTCCTAAGCACTTCCTGTAAAGAGTAATCTAATGTTTACACTTCCTTTATTGCAAATACTGTTTAATTTAAAATGTCTTATCCCTGCGCCGTTAATAGTTTGCTAGAGCCTGCTGGAGCCTCCTGTGTGTGATTAAAGTTCAATTTAGAGAGAAGGAGATAAAAACTTTTAAAGCAAGTTACATCTGATTGAAAGTGAAACCATTTTTTTCTCATGCAGGCTGTGTGAGTCACAGTCAGGGGAGGTGTGACTAGGGCTGCATAAACAGAAACAAAAGTGTTTAACTCCTAAATGGCAGAGAATTGATTTGTGACCCTTCAGAGGCATGATCTGTACACCAAAACTGCTTCATTAAGCTAAAGTTGTTTTGGTGACTATAGTGTCCCTTCAATTAAGCTAAATGTTGAAAGTCCACCTGTTTTTGCAGCAGACCTTGAGCAGTGGCTTTACTGATAAAATGATCGGTACAAGAGATGGTACATGAAGCGAGCGAGACAAGTTTGAGTAGACAAGAAAGCGAACTGGATGCCTGAACGGAGATCTTACACTATAACAAGAGACAATAATGAAAAGTGTCAGCAGAGACCAGTGTAAAGACAAACAAGACTTTATAATGATAACTATATAGAGGAACATTGAATTTTCACTTTTGTTAAAATATCCGACACTTTGGAAGCCAAGAGCTTTATAATAAATACCCACCGCCCCCCATGGATTTTACAAATAAAATATTAAGAACCTGGTGACCTTATAAAATAATAACATAGACACAATAAAAAGTATAGAATCATAGGGATTTCCGGAGTTCTATTGTAATAAAGAAAACATTTCAAAATAACTACTGTACCACGTCTTTGGCATTTTGACCCTTTCTCTTGGCCTCCATTCCAATATATGTTAGTTTAGTATGTTGATTTAGGCTGTAAATCTGCTCAGTGGCTACTGTTAATCAAAGGTTGAATAGTTAATGATAATGTGTATTCATATTGCCAACACTGTTCATGTTGTTGATTGATCCGAGATGTTGGCCAGACATGGCACTGAATCCACCTGGTGGGGACTGTAACCCATGGCTTGGGTAGAGTGCCGGAGGGGAACCGGGCCAGTAGGAGAAACCAGGAGAGACTCCGGACGCCATGAGATTGAGCTTGGACAAGCCAGGGAAGGGTAAATGGGGCAGATTGCCCTGGAACTTGTACAAGGTTTGCTCTGTAGTGGGCGTAGACTGGCATACTTGTGCCAAGCCGTGAAAGTCAAACTTGTAGGCATATCTCTTCCCGTGGACCTTGGCCATGATATTTTTATCATAGTAATAGCGTAGGGCGCGGCTCAGCTTGTCATAGTTCATGTTGGGTTTGCTCTTCCGTTCTCCCCAGCGTCGGGCAACCTCATCAGGATCTGTCAGCTTGAATTCGCCATTCGTCCCTTCCCAAGCGATGCAGTTGGTGTTGGCATGATCTGACAAAAGCTCCAGGAGAAACTGCCAAAGCTGGATCTGTCCGCTGCCTGGAGTGAAGACAATACTCGTTTTACCACGATTAACAGTTTATATTCAGTTTATATTCAGTTTATATTTATTAAACAACATTTATTCTTTTTTGACTCCTACACAAACGCTATAGTGCCCTGGTGGTTGCTTCGTTTCATGGCCCCCACCTGCACAGAATAAAAAATATAATTTACTTACCTAATCTACCTCTCGGCGCCGGTCTTGATTGAAGTCTCAGCCAATCCAATGCTTTCCCATAGAAAAACACTGTCAGGATAGCGAGCATGCACTGCAAGACGCAGCGCTGAGTGAATCGAATGGTCTCTCTGAGACCATGTGATTAAAATAGAGTTTTACTCTGCTATATAAGAGGAAATGCATCTAGTGGCTGTGCGAGTGAGCCAACCATGCAATACAAACATTACCGTTCTGGGACTGTTTGACTTTGGTGTTTTCCCTTGTCTGAGTGTGGTGGGAAAAAAACTATAGACACTGGGCTCATACAGCATTGGGGAGTCTGCTAGTTAATAGGAAGGCAGATGTGTTAACCCCTTTATCCCACGGCCGATGACATATCAAAATGGATATAGAGCATCTGTATGGTCCCCATGTGATTATATTAGCCAGAACCCCACATTACATGAGCACTAGTAATGGTGATTGGGCACCATACATTGGGTCCCCATAGTTTTTGGTCTGGGTGTCATGTGTGTCCCTAGCCCCCTAGAGCCCCCCATGGCGTTGGTAATGTTTAGCTATACAGCTGCTTTATTGGTTAACAAGGCATGTTTCTTTCTCTTACTGTTAGAATTTACAGGACAGAATTAATATTAAATGCAGTCAGTGTCTATCAGGGCTGGAATGGATGAAGTGAATTCTGTTTAATAGGTACTAGACAAAGTGATTAAAACACAAAATATAGCAGGGTTTTTTTTGTTTGTTTTTTGTTCTGCTTAGCAAACGTAATCATAAATACGTAAAAAAATAATAATGAAAATCAGCGATTAACAATTAAGATCATAAAATGGTTATACTAATATTCGGTTTAGCACGAAACCCATCCAGCTACTTTGATGCAATATTGAAGTGGAAATTTATGTTTTTACTGTTAGTAAATAATGATAAAATCTGTAAACGTTAAATTAAATGGTGGCGGTGAGTGGGGGGAGGGGATTCTGTGACACTGCAGCAAAATTCATACACACACAAAATACAAAGAAAAAATATATACACAAAATAAAAGGAGTCATTCCTAAATGCTGCTAATTTGTCAATATTTGGTAGGAGGGGAGAACCCTATTTTAAAAAATAAATATTTTCTGTTTGATCTTTTCACAAACCCAGCATGCACTAATGTACATGGGTGGATGGAAATAAATATGCAGTTTATGTCTGTGGTTGTGTGTGCACATACTTTGTGTATGCGTATTTGTATCGGTATGTGTATGCATAAATATATTGGTGAATATGTGTTCATTGTTTTAATGTTTGTTCAAACATTGTGTTTACTTTTGTGTGTGTTTATGTTTATCTATATAGATACAGTTTTATACTGACATTAACAATGTGTACTTATTGTCTAACTTTCTATAAAGATGGATACAGTGTATATATGTATATGTGTGTATGAATGTAAGGTTATGTCTCCGTACATCACGCGAATGCTATTTCACCGGGCAGACGATGTTATCAAACCCGATAAGTCAGGACATTAATGCTTTATTCTACTCGCTCTCTATAGAGTCACGCTCCCATTTTAATTCAATCATTATATTACAGAGGGGGCTGAGGAGATGGGAAACAGGGCAATTCTGTTTGCCCATAGCTTCTTCCAATATATCGCTATCAGGAGAGTAGTACAGCTCCCACTAATCTCGGGCAGACTAGGAAATGTATGATTAATATTTTTAAGAAATCTTATATAGCGCCCACATATTCCGCAGTCCTGTACAATAAGTATTGTTTTACAATAATACACATTACACAATGAATGATCACATACTATAACTAAGCCCCCATTATTTAAAAAAAAAAAATAATTCTGTGAGCTTTGAAATTGCTGTTTAGTGAACTAGCGAGTGCGCTGGATCTTGTACGTTATATATTGCTATATATAGACATCCGAGATCTTTGTTCAGGATAGTGCAGTTCTAGGAACAGCTAAGGCACTGCACAGAGCCGTCTCTGGTAGAGGAACCGAGAATGAGTAACACACCCCAAAAAAATGTCACATTAAATATAAATATATACCAATCTGGAAAAAGGCTGCACTCCTGCAATCAGCAAGTCTTAGCATTCAAAAAATATTATTCTGTTGTTTTTTGGGTTTTTTTGCACAATGAGCTGCAGTTGTGTTTTTATGCTATTTAACCCCTTAAGGACACATGACATGTGTGACATGTCATGATTCCCTTTTATTCCAGAAGTTTGGTCCTTAAGGGGTTATCGTAACTCGTATTTTTTCATACATATGGAAGTTGCATTCAAAAACATCACTCTGTTGTGTTCTAGTGATTATGTGCCTCATCGTAAAACGAAGGAACAAAGTGCATTTATTGAAATAATTTTATTTTTTGGGCAAAAGAAATGTTTTTTTATTATATTTTTATTAAATTAAAAAAGGGGTTACATTGCAGTAATATGCAATAAAAGAAAATGTGGGTTTTATGAATAAATTAAACTCAAATATATATTTCAAGGTAAATATGTCCTTTTTTTTCTTCCCTATTCCCAACTGTACAAACAAACAAAAAAAAAACATTAAATGATAAAAAGTAAATTATAATAATATGCATTTTATGTTCTCAAAATTATAATACATAAAGCAGTTAACATTCTAAATGGAATTTTCATAATATTCTACAAACATGTCCTTTCATTCAGTAACATCCTGATTGCACAAATTACTTAAATTGTAATGATCACATATTTATAATATGTTCATATAAGATTTAGTAAAACTCAAATATTTTTCCTGCAATCTTATATCTTGAGACATAAAGCAAGAATTATAAAGCATTACTAAAAAGTATATGCTTAACGCACAGTCTAAAAAAAATCACTTCATTTAATATATTGATACGATTTACAATATATTGAGATTTCTGTAATTCTGGGGACAGTTCACTAAACAGCAAAATGGCAAATTTACAAAAACATTTATAAAAATGTTTTTTCCATCCCTTTGTTTATTTATATTTTTTTGATTGGTTATAAACTCACCACTGTTTAGTGTGTAGTGAATAAACCCTGAAAATGTTTGTTTAGATGTGTATTTGTGTTTATTATATGTTTAAAATATAATTGTATATATTTGCACACTTTTTCTTTATAAATTATTTTAGCAAAATATTACATTCTTTTATTTAGTTCGATCTATTGTTATTTTCTGAACATATTATATCTTATATCTTTTATTAAAATACATTCCAAATATCTTAAATCTAATTCTGTGCCTTTTTAGTACAAGTAGTAATAATGTTAAAAAGTAAAGAGATCTCACCTTTTTGCACCCCAGAAGCGAATGGTCTCCAAGTCTGAGATTTCGATTCCTTAAGGAAACTCTCGCCAACTGGATCTGAAAGGGAATAGAGACTATTACTGTCTGCATCGTGTCTCTGTACAAATTCTCTCATATTTATCAAACAGGAAGGAAACATTCGATCTTTACAATTCCATTCGTTCAGTAAGAACGAAATCGAACGATTTTCCATGGATGGTGATGGCAAAAGTTACAAAATCATTCATTTTAAGTTATATATGAAAAGATACAGAATTACTGTGCATTCAGCTGGGATCTACCATGAATTCATAGAGAGGAATTTTATATAAATTGCAGACTGTGTCAACACAACAAATCTGCCGAATCTATGAAAATAAATTGTAATTTGAAGCAAACTAGTTATGGCGAATTTGGGGTGCATTGATGTTCTGAACCCCTAAGAATCCTTCCTTCTCTCCCAGTGTCCATTTCTGAGATGTAATGTGGCCCCAATACTCCCTTCGTCTGTCTGTCTGTCTGTCTCTCTGTCTGTCTATCTGACTGACTGTCTGTCTGTCTGGTTGCCTCTGTCTGTCTGTCTGTCTGTCTCTGTCTGTGTCTCTGTCTAGTTGACTGCAAGGGGAGAAGCCAGGAAACGTGTTCAGGAAAAAGGAAATCCGATTTCTGGGGAGAGAAGGGTTATAAGGCAACAAGTGAGGGAAGAACAGATACCAGTCCGAGGGGGGGAATATACAGAGAGACCAGTCTGAGGGAGAATATACAGAGAGAGACCAGCCTGGGGGAGAATATACAGAGAGACCAATCTGGGGGGAGAATATACAGAGAGAGACCAGTCTGGGGGAGAATATACAGAGAGAGAGTAGTCTGGGGGAGAATATACAGAGAGAGAGCAGCCTGGGGGAGAATATACAGAGAGACCAATCTGGAGGAGAATATACAGAGAGAGACCAGTCTGGGGGAGAATATACAGAGAGAGACCAGCCTGGGGGAGAATATACAGAGAGAGACCAGCCTAGGGGAGAATATACAGAGAGACCAGCCTGGGGGAGAATATACAGAGAGACCAGCCTGGGGGAGAATATACAGAGAGAGACCAGCCTGGGGGAGAATATACAGAGAGAGAGCAGTCTGAGGGAAAATATACAGAGAGACCAGTATGGGGGAGAATATACAGAGAGAGAGCAGCCTGGGGGAGAATATACAGAGAGACCAATCTGGGGGGAGAATATACAGAGAGACCAGCCTGGGGGAGAATATACAGAGAGACCAGTATGGGGGAGAATATACAGAGAGACCGATCTGGGGGGAGAATATACAGAGAGACCAGCCTGGGGGAGAATATACAGAGAGACCAGTATGGGGGAGAATATACAGAGAGACCAATCTGGGGGGAGAATATACAGAGAGAGACCAGCCTGAGGGAGAATATACAGAGAGAGACCAGCCTGGGGGAGAATATACAGAGAGAGAGCAGTCTGAGGGAGAATATACAGAGAGACCAGCCTGGGGGAGAATATACAGAGAGACCAGTCTGGGGGAGAATATACAGAGAGACCAATCTGGGAGGAGAATATACAGAGAGAGACCAGCCTGGGGGAGAATATACAGAGAGACCAGCCTGGGGGAGAATATACAGAGAGACCAATCTGGGGGGAGAATATACAGAGAGACCAGCCTGAGGGAGAATATACAGAGAGAGACCAGCCTGGGGGAGAATATACAGAGAGACCAGCCTGAGGGAGAATATACAGAGAGAGGAACTTTGTGATACTAGATGTCAGAGAATGAGATAAAATGGAATCACAGAAGAGATTATTTACTTCATGAGAAAAAGAAACAAACAAAAATATAAAAGACAGAAGAAGGGATTCTCCCTGATGGCAATAATTATTTCCAATCACACAAACAATACAGTTTATATAAATAGTATCTATAGCAAGGCTAGGGTGAAATCACATGAACACAACCAATCTTTAAACCCAGGGGCACCACCTGAACATGTGAAGAATAAAATAGAAATCAATGTGCACAACAGGTGCCAGGGGGTGTCAGTGCGGTTCAGATGCATGGATACCTTCTGGGGTCCCCCCCCCTCCACCCCTATGTACCCCATTCCAAGTGGGTGCTATACCTGTCAGGTACATGTTGAGCAGGAGCTGGGATCCGCTGCTCTGAGCCATGGGAGGTTTGGACTGACACCCAGGGGGGGCCAGGACTTCCTGTAATCTGTCTCTTATTAATATTAGGATTGCTAATAATCTGCCCGAGGCTGGTGACGGGAGGGTGATGGGAAATAAATGTGAAAGACATTGAAGGAAGGCATATAGAGAGATGGGGACCTTGGGATAATATCCAGGCAACCTCTGAAGAGATAGGATGCTTGCAGCCTCCAAACATGGTCCCCTCCCTCTCTGTGTGTATCATTTCCTCTGTAAAACTCTGTTTAATTAAAGAAGCCATCTGACTTTGTCATCTTCTCTCGTGCCTCCTGCCTCCCGTCCCTCTTATCAGGACACATCTGAGTTTTAATAAAGTTCGCTGTTAAAGACCCGTGTTACTATGGTTATTATGGTTGTACCCCTCCCTAGCATCCCTCCACCACCCTGCTGCTCCAATTTTATGCCTTTTTAACTCTTTGCAAACATCAGAAGGCGTCAGAGATAGAAATCCAATATTGACCTTTGGGTGGGCCAGTCCGCTTCACTGGGCCTGACAAAACAACATTATAAAGTCTTTAGAAAGAGATGTTTCTAGGGAACAAACTATAAAACGGTTGTTTGAGAGCTTTGATGGATAAGAGTATGAGCCCTGGCTGCAATTAGAACCTATTAAAATCAAATGAACCTCATTCAACCCTGCTTAACAAAGATGGCATGTGCCGCTTCAACAGCCACAGGTGCCTAGAGTTATATCGTATCAGAAAAGTGTAAAGGGATTACTAACAGGTGTATTCGCTAATGGACCAGGTGACGTCAAGTCAAAGTGAATTTCTAATTTAAGGTCAAAATAGCCAAAGTGGAAACGGAACTGAAAAGTTAGAAATTTAAATTCTACTTCAAACTCAGTTCGGAATTTAGAGAATAACCGAGAATTGCGGGATACATTGGCACGATACATATTATGACAGAATTAAGTGTTTCAGGGTTTTATTAAGGCATAGACTTTTATTTACAGTACAGTAAAGTAATACGGGAGACTCGCAGGTATCAATGCATTAGGACAATAAAGCTGTGCAGAATAACAAATTCCATGTTCAGTATTGTCGTTTAACAAAGATGTAGCAATATATAAACATGTAGGTCACAGGGCCTATCAGCCGTGGCCGTGTCTTATTGAACTGAGTTACCCTTGCATTGACTGGGCTCACCCCGGCAGGTGCTCGCGGGGCTATTATGATAGGTGGGGGAAGGAATTGGGTAAGGAGGCGATGGATAGAAGGATAGTGGCTGAGAAGGCAGTGAAGTAAGAGATGGTGGGTGTAACCAAGTAGTGGGGGATGGGGTAGAGTCTGACAGAATTAAAGCGTTACTCCAACCATTTTTGAAAACGCTGCAATTTTTTTTTTGGAATGACATATTGGGTATATTGACATATTGGGTATATTGACATATTGGGCATTATTAGTAGGGACTGCAGAGCAGGAGGGAGGGATGGAGGGATGGATCAAGCTTCCATTTGCCAGTGTTTTCCCTGCAAGGGAGAAGCTGATCACTCCATTCGCCAGCGCACTTTGTGCTCTGGACACAGACACCTTCTTTTGCACAGAATTGGCATTAGGCAGTCCGGCACAAAACTACTATTATCTCTGTATATACGGCGTCTCAAGCTGAAACACTGCACATACCGATTCCTGACACCATGACCACTTCTAAAAGCAGAAGTGGTCATGGTGGTGGGATTAACCCTTTAATACAATTACTATTAATTCATCGATCGCAGGATATCATTATAATATATCTTTTTTTCCATCTTTATTCCTCGGTACATATTAGGTTTTACGGTGTGTAGTTTTGAATATAAAACAATATTTAAACAAAAATTTAAATTGTCAATATTTATTGTTCTATGTTTTGTTTATTTATTTTTTTATCTTCATTTTCAGTAGTTACTAATTATTGTATACATTTCCAAGTAAAAGAAATTTTATTATTTGTGAATAAAAAAAAATCTATACTTTTACACGCGAAATTGACAAATACGGTAAATGTATTTTTCTTGTGGAGTCTTTTGGCTAAATATATGTTCTGGGAATCAACGTACAGCTACTGAACTTATTAATTTTTATTTTTTATATTTTTTTATTTTTCATTTATAGCTTTTGCATTTTTTTAATATACATTTTATGTAATATATTAAAAAGAATTGAGACAGATCTAGTCTAGAATGCATTTTTATTTTTTTTTAAACGATTGTTATTATAATTATTTTATTCTTATAATTTGCATTTATGTATAGCGCTAACATTTTCTGCAGTGTTTAACAATTATATAACGATGAGGATTATTGCAACTAGCCTGTACTATGAATGGTAGCTAGGCAGACCAGACTAGAAATCTTGCCGTTATATCCTGTTTATTTTATAAAATTGTGCTTGCCTAATATTCTATTCCAATTGTATTACAAGATGCTTATTAACTGCTCAAATGATATGATAGCCTGTTCTATTATTTCTTGCAAACAATATCGCTGTATAAGCTATACCTATGTTATGCAACAGTTTAGCATGTTTCTACTTTACATAATTACTATGAAATGAGGCTTTCCTAGCTTGGAGATGTTGAATTATACTGTGATATAGAAACATAGAAACATAGAATGTGACGGCAGATAAGAATCATTCGGCCCATCTAGTCTGCCCAATTTTCTAAATACTTTCATTAGTCCCTGGCCTTATCTTATAGTTAGGATAGCCTTATGCCTATCCCACGCATGCTTAAACTCCTTTACTGTGTTAACCTCTACCACTTCAGCTGGAAGGCTAATCCATGCATCCACTACCCTCTCAGTAAAGTAATACTTCCTGATATTATTTTTAAACCTTTGTCCCTCTAATTTAAGACTATGTCCTCTTGTTGTGGTAGTTTTTCTTCTTTTAAATATAGTCTCCTCCTTTACTGTGTTGATTCCCTTTATATATTTAAATGTTTCTATCATATCCTCTCCTGTCTCGTCTTTCCTCCAAGCTATACATGTTCCTTTAACTTTTCCTTATATCCCTAACTTATATACATATCGTGCATTTCCCTTCCTTATTCTGTACAAACAAACTTGAATGCCTCCTTAAAAGAAAGATTGATAAAAAAAAAAAGATGGAGGTAGCTGGCAACATGTAACTGACATAGAAAATAATATTCTAAAGATAGATTCACTCCTCACTCACTGGTAAAATGTTAATTCAAGCCGTGTCTATCGGTTGTGGATACATACATTTTACCACCAGAATCTGAGGGCTGAGTGAATTTACTTTTTTTTTTACAGGACTCGATGACCCAGTCTCCAGCGCCGCAAAATTAACTGAATTTGTAAACAAAAAGTATTAACTGATACAAGGGGTGAAGATTAAATCCATATAATCTAATAATATAAATGTAATAATTATTCAAAGTAACATTGTTTTGTTTTTGTTCTCTAAACACTGACAATATAATCTAATAATATAAATGTAATAATTATTCAAAGTAACATTGTTTTGTTTTTGTTCTCTAAACACTGACAATATTTTAGGAGCACACTACATGATTTATGTTAAAACAGCCTAAATTCCCAGGACAGAAGATTTGAGATCTAATCCGTCGCTTCTATTGCAACCGAAATTTGGGAGGATGGTTTATATTCTTTAGTGAATACATGTCCTAATCTCAAGGGATAAAGAAAACCATCGGTAATCCAAACTAACCGATGGACAAAAAAAATGGCATTTCTTTGTATGGGGCTGATAATAATATATAAACGTAAATTAATCATGGGATTATTTTATGAATATAGTTTATTAATATCAATAACTGGTTTGTTATATGATAACTGCTTACAGATATATGTATCTTTTTATGACAAGTTTTAGCCTTTGCACATATAGAATAATTTCAATCTTCTATAACCCATATTATGTCCTGGGATACAGTAAAATAATCTAAACTATAACTGGTTAAATAGTTATATTAGTGGGTGACTGGGCAGTGACAGGGTTAAGTTTGGCAAATAATCAATATTTGCCGACTCTTTATTATTCTGGATTTAAAAAAAAAAACATCTGTTTAGCTACAACACAAATAGTTACAACTCAGACCCTGAATATGAATGAAGACAGATCGTTATCTGTTTCACTCCTCGATACAATGGAAAGAATAGCGCAGACCCCAAACTCAGCGGTTTAACTCTTTCAGTGCCATCATAGTGAAGAATCATTGTAGCGATGAACTCGCCGTAGTAGGATCTCTTTAAATGTGTGAAGCGCCCGTATTTAATAAAGAACATTGTAATTCACTAACATGAGAATTCAGAGTAAATTCAACGTGAATTTCAAATTTATGAAGTTGAGGCCAGAGTAGCTGATCTGCAAGCATAGCTGACTTAGAGAATTTTTCCAGTTTGACTATATTGGCCTAAAATTTTATTTTCACTTTAATAAATAACTCTATCAATAAATTGTAGCAAAAAAATTTAATTATTGACAAAAGAAGAGACTTTCAAAATCGTGGATCACCATCCAGACTTCTACTCCTTTTTATGAGGCACACACTCTGTCCTTTGTCCCGAGAGAGCACTGAACACAGATATTATTAACCTTCTGTTCCCCAGACTAGAGGCTGGAGGCGGATTGTCGTTCTTTGTCGGTTTACACCGGTTGTTTAGTTTGGATTCACTACCGCACTTTTTCTTTTAATGGATTGACGCTTCATACGTACTTTGCTTTCTCTGGATATCGATATCATTTGTGTCACCTCATCCCTTTTTATTGCCAAACATGTGGTCAATCCTGAAAACGCAATATAAAATGCTGATTAAAACCAACAATAACCTGTCTCCTTTCCATACTTTTCAAATGAATTCAGATCGTTAAAATTAAATAATTATTGTAATTTACTAGAAATGCGACTACAGAAAGATTTCTGGGAGCAGACAGATCCTTAATCCGTGTAGATGCTGTCACCTTAGAAATGAAAGGATGTTGACTTTTGTGGGGCACTCGCCCCCCTCTTTTTACATACTGCGGATGCATGTGACTAGCAATGGCGGCACTGCAGAACTTTACAGTTATACAAATATATTTACAAAAATAAAAACAAATACAAGAATTTCATAGAAAAAATATCTTGATAACGTTGTTTTGGTTTAACTTTTAAAATAGTTAAAAAAATATATAATATTTTTATTTCAAGGAATACACTTTTAGTCCAAAAACAAGCCATGAAATGCAGGTTTAAAATATTATCCAACAAACTGCAATCATCTTGTCATTTCATATAATCCCTACTTTAAATAAAGGGACACTGAAACAACTCATTTTAAAACTTTATCCAAAATATTAAATCATTTCAAAAACGCATCTAACCGTATTAAAACAAAACCATGGTTTGTAAATAACTGCTCAAGGTCGATCTGGTAATGGAGAATACTGACTGCAAGTCTGAGCTGTAGGTATGCTGCGCATATTCTGCATTGCTTGTTACTTTACTGCTTACTGTTGGCTGCGCTCAAGCTGATCTCGACTTTGGGTAACACAGCAGCTTAGCCAATTAAAGTTCTGACGCTGCAACCATGAGGTGGTAATCTGAAAAATAGTAAACCTAAAATAATCTCTACATTTACACCAGGCATGTCCAACCTGCGGCCCTGAAACACCTGTAATGCTCCCCAGTTGCCGTCCTGGCTGTGAAGGAGGCAGGTAGCCCATTGCTTACTGTGCTCTTTCTGCAGTGAGCCAGGAGCTGGGATATGATGTCCTCCCGGCATCGGCATCACTACTGGGCGCTGGAGGGACCTGTGCAAAAAGAGCACAGTGATCCCATCACAGCAGCAACCACTGGTCATCATGGAGAGGATACACTCCAGCCCTCCCAGAGCAAGGTAGGGAGGCTGGGCAGACCTCTTAATTACTAAATGTGTGTGTATGAATGTGATTTGTGTGTGTGTGCGCCAGTAATTATGTGTGAAAGTTGGACGCCCATGATTTACACGGATACAGCTTCAAATAAGACACAGCTTTTTAAGTTTAACTTTTTTTTTATTGAGAAATCCATTGGTTTGCAAAGGGTCAGATCTTACAAAATACAATCTCTAAATGTGAAAAAGAATGTGAAAGCAGACTAATATATATATATCACTTATAAATTAATATAGAAATTCATGAAAATTTTCAATCACATGAATAGGGGACGTTCAAAAAGCATTTTGAAAGCAGAAGTTGATTTGTGTTTAGAAAGGACTATAAACACCCAGTGCATTTAGACAAAGTAATGAAATAATTAGAGCAAAAATTAAATCACATGCAGAAGTCTGTGTTCAAGACTCACTTATCTGAAATGCTTTTTTTAATAAAATAATTGTTTTAATATAATTATTGAATTAAAGTTTAGGATATTTAGAGGGGTGGGGAGGGTTCCAAAATACAGAACATTAACAGTGAGTTTAAAAAACAGTCACGAGAAAAGTGGGAAGAAAGAATTATTGGGATTATTGCAGAATGTTAATATTAGGTTAATGTTATGGCTGTATAAATTTATGGGTTTAGCCTCCAGTTACGTCTTCGAAATAGGACAAATTTTAAAATGCTGATAAATCAACATGCTTTGAAATAGACTAAATCAGGTTTTTCCACTAAATATAAAATATTGCAAATTAAGGCCTTGTTGAATCAAATCATTCTTTATAGAAATAGCTATTTTATGTAGATAGCCTTGACCGGTGTATAGTCGCCATATGGGCAGTCAGAACCTAGGACAACCACACCACATACCTATCCCAATAAGACACTGACGCTAGGGTATATGGGTCAAATTGTGCACAGCTTTTATTAAACAATCTTAATATAATAACAATAATAATAATTATAATAATAATAATAACTTAACATATAAAACATGGGTCATTGCCCCCATACTCCGCCCTCGCATCCGTATCCTTCTGTAAATATAAAAGGCAATGACTCCAATATAGATAACACATATATATATATATATATATATATATATATATATAAAACATTTTCCATCCTTATTCCAACATAAACAAACTTAAAGTGCCAATCATAAATTAACCTCGGCAGGGGTATACCCGGATACCCCTACCCCACCAAGTTCTGAGCCACCGACAGGACTCGAAACCTACCGACCACCAATGACCACCTCATGGGGAGCCTATTACCTCTCCTTCAGCTCCCTATCCCACCGCTGTGACAAAACGTGGTAAACCCCCCTGAACCAAAACCACAGGGCGGGTGGGTGGGACAAACTAAGCCAGGTAGGAGATTAAAAGTGACTCATTCCAAAATGGCTACCTATTTAAATAGCCAAACCCCCTTTCCCACAACTCCAATCCCTGCTTGCTTCCTCCTATGCCCACCTCCTAACCCCTGTCAAGGCCCTTTTCCGTTAAACTGCGCTTTGGCTACATGGGGCTACAGTCTGCGTTGGTAAATATGGTTTTTTAAATCTATTGTTGATTTCACAAGATGGTTACACATGAGGTTAAATACTGGAGGAAAAATGACAGAAATGGAGGAGTCACCATCTGACATTTTATACAATGATAAAAAGAAATAACTGAAATTGTGCTTTCAGTTTAGAAAAATCTATTTTATTTAATCTTGCAGAGTCTCCTCTTGCTCGATATCTTTCTATCTCTTTACTTGAAGTAAAATTAAAGGATCGGGAATACAAACCTGTATAGTGTTCTCCTTTGCATTTAGTTTAATTTCCCCCCATCCCTTAATCTCAATGTAAATTGGATAAAAGGGATTTACTTATGGGGTTTTTTTTACAGCACCAAATCCAGTCCCTGCTCAATCCTCCTCCCGTGATGTCATTCTGACTCTTCTGCTTCGTCAAACCCTACGCTTCGCAATGCTCCAAAGCCCGGCGCTGCGCTCCTCCGATGAAATGGAGACTACTTAAAAGAACTGGGTTTAACTTGGTTCTCACATCGGATGTGACGCTAGGAGATGTCAGGAAGAGCCACTAGGGATGAAGTGATCTAGTTGCCTTTAATGGCCCCTTAAAGTGGAATTATTATGCAAATATAAGTTTCAATATTTTGTAGTGTAAACCAGAATATCTGACTTTCTGGGTCATCTTTGCAAAGTTGTAATGGCCATAGTCTAGCCCTGCCTTGTAGGTTTTGTTAATTGCCCTCTCTCCAGTGTGAGCTGCTATGTATCCTAGACTTCTGCATTCGATTACAAATGAATTGCGATTCGTCTGAACTTTGGGTTATCAGCAGTTCATCTGAATTCTGTAACTACGAAATAACTCCGAATGTATCACGTAACAAACTAAATGGACAATGGAGGAGTTCCATGGTGCCAAAAAAAAGGGACAGAATGGAGAATGAGCTGATTATGTTTTTTAGGGGTAGAAAAGCAGCTCAGATATAGATAATATTATATAGATAAGAGGTGTGCCCATTTTATTATATAAAAAATAGAACAAAAAAGCGCAATATAAAATTAAATCGTCTGTATGACACCAAATATTAAAAGTCCAAAGATAAATATTTTTTTTTTAGCTGCCAAACATAAAAGGTTATTCCGCAAACCTATGTGATAGAATGTCCAAAAGTAGATAAATGTCAGCGCTGTGCAATAGCCCCAAATAAGTGTTTGTGGGGAAGCTGGGTATTGAGATAAATGTGTATGATTTCCACCTCCACAGCGGTGGTTTAGGAAATTAGGAGTATTCCGTGTAAACTTTGTATCCAACAGCAGTGATCACAGTAACGTATCTTCAAAGATATAAACCAAGCAAAGAAAGTGCAACACAGTTTATTAATATCATGTAAAAACGAAACTCCAAATCTTATAAAAAACTCATACACAGTAAAAAAGATGGTGTTTAAATCCTACTTTCCATCTAAGGATCCAAACAGAGTCCAGAATATGTAGCAGATAAGCAGTGTGCTGAAAGGATTACCACTCTGTTGGTGCAGTAGAAATCCAGAAAATGTCCAAGGATCCAGCCGAAATGCTGCAAGTTCAAATGGAGGGATGACAAAGCACTTAACTGCCAAAGGTGTCTGCCTGGAAAGGTAAGATGAAAGGCTTCTAACTCATCTCTGCTTGGTTTGTATCTTTGAAGATACGTTACTGTGATCACTGCTGTTGGATACCAAGTTTACACGGAATACTAATTTCCTAAACCACCGCTGTGGAGGTGGAAATCATACACATTTATCTCAATACCCAGCTTCCCCACAAACACTTATTTGGGGCTACTGCACAGCGCTGACATTTATCTACTTTTGGACATTCTATCACATCATTAAAAAGGACCATATAATCCACATGATTGCTTATTGTACATCCACTTTATATGTACTATCACCACTGTGTAAATGGTTGACACAATATAAATACACGTTAATGATAAAATACTAACTGCTCGGGTGATTCATATAGAGGTTATATTGCGAAGAGCTATGATGTTTTCCCCTCTATGGCCACTAGGGGACAGTGCAGTGTTTCAGAAAATACTGCCAGCTGCTGTAATGAAATTATCTTACACAGTGCTTGTGTCTGCCCAGTAATCCCAGGCTGTGCTGACAACGAGCTTCTGTAGAATTTATGCAGTTAGTGCATTTACCAATTGAGCTATCTCACTAGTCTGCACGTTTTACAAATTTAGGCTTATTCAGTGCATATCTCATTGCATGCATTGGATATAACTCCTGCCTGGAGTGAAACTGATAGAAAATGTAAAATTTACATTAAGTTTAAAATTGCATAGAAAAAAAGATAAATGTTAAAACATGTTAATCAGAGGGTGGACTAAAACTCCTACAGACAGATAAATATACAGACAAACATGCATAAAGACGGACACTTAGTATGTACTAATATTCATATATTTTTATTTTTGAATGAATAATATTCTTGGTAAATATATAAAAGTGTGCAGATTTCTGCTTTTCAAACGTTCCTATTTGCTTTTGCTGTACACAATATAAATCACTCTGCATAGATGGTAGGGGAAGATTTTTTTGCTTTTTTTTCAAGTTGCCGGCTCATTCTGTTTACATTGAATTTAGCTTCTATTATTAAACACTATCTGTTCATAAACCTGCTCAGAATCTGCTCCACAACCGCCTTGACCTCTACTTCCACTGGGCGACACCATTTGACCAACTCCAAGAAATTCTGCTTACTGCCTATTGTCTAAGCAACCCGGGTAAAAGAGAGTTATTCACAGCACACGGAATGCCCTGAATATCCTTGTAAGAGCTCAAATGTGAAACTGATATCCTTGGTGGATGCAAAATGAAATTTCTGATATTTGCTAAAATCAATCTGGATACAAATTTATTACAGTTTTTTAGATAGGTGACACGGCGCTCTACAACATAAGAGGGTTACCGACAAATTTATATTTAAACCAGACTCTCCCATCTTCTCGCACTGAGGGTGGTGGAGTTACATCTGCTATCGACCGTCTCTAGAAGGTTCTTATTCAGCTCAACCATGATTAGTAAACTATAGCGTTTAGTTTGCAAGAATTGTAGAATTTGTAGAAAACATTACATATAAGCTGTTAGTAACTGTTTTTAATGTGTTCCTTGTCTCTGGTTGAGTGTTCTTTTAGTACATAGAGCTGTAGCATTGTCTTATGTACTAAGAAGATGACCAGGTGGTGTTGTGGTGGACTAGTCGTCCACTGGTCGTGGTCAGGGGTGATAGCAGTTTCGATGTCCATGGCTGTGTGGTCTCCTGCTTTCCAGACTTGCTTTAGCTGCCTGTGTCCTGCTGAACACTCACAGGCAACTTAAAACAAGCCACGAACTCAGGACTGGGATGGACTGATGGATGTTCCTCAGATGGTGACGTCATGGGACATGAAGAAGTAATTCTAGAAAGTATATAAAGGTTACATTTAAGAAACAATATTTTTATACACAGAATTTAGTCATACTTGAGAACTGCCCCTTCTAGACATGCTATCTGACTCGTGAACAGGCTACAAAGCAAGTGGTCTCAATACAAATTGGCTTTTTGCCCCCAAACATCAACGTGATTTTTGGAAATGCTTCTCTCTCTGTTCGATGTAGTTTAAATAAAACGAAGAAGGCAGTGTTTTGTTATACAATAAGAAGCTATTATACAAGAGGCCATTCGTTGAAGTTAATATGTGTTACTTTACAGAAGTGGCACCGTAATATAGAAGAGTAGGAGATACCAAACTGTATACCAGTGGAAGTGGTAATTGCAAACCGTGATACAGAAGAGATACTAGATACCTGGAAATGTATTCCAGAATAGGCGGTAAATGTTTGAGATGAACATAAGGCAGCCCTGATTTTTTTCTGCTACAATCAATTTTTCTGTATTCTATACAAAATGTATAAAATATGAATGTTTTTGTGTACATGCCACATCTAAGGGCTTTATTAAAGGAACACTATAGCGTTAGGAATACAAACCTGTGGGGGTTTTACTTACCTTTACTGCCTCTCCAAGCTGTTGTCACGGCTGCCCTATTTCCCTGGCTGAGAAAATCAAGGTTAATAATCTCAGCCGATCCAATGCTTTTCCATAGGGAAGCATTGAAGGGCTAGTGTGCATGCGCAGCAAAATACCACACTGCACCAACCAGATGCCCTCTATGAGCAGCATTTGAATGAATTCTGAATTTTGACTCAGGAAGACGTTACTAGAGGGGTGTTACCCCTGTACCCATAACATTGCTCTATCTACTATACTTCGATTTTTTAAATTGCTGGGTTAAAGCTAAAGATCCACTGCACCAAGAATACTTCATCAAGATGGTCTGGGTATCG